TAAACTATTGTCTGCCCAAACTGCTACAGACAGAAGGGTATAGTTTTTCCAAGAAGCAGAAATTATACTTACCTGTTGGATACTACTATAAACCTGTGAAGGATTCCTGTAGCCATATCATTGTTATAGTACTGCTGTTAAGAAGGCCACAGTACTATAACAGTATTGTCGCAGATTAAAATAAAATTTAATCAAAATAAAACTGAGGACTTCTCACGTCTACTCTTAGAGCCTATAAAACCCACATATACTCATTTATTAATAAATCTAACCCTAAACCCTACTCTAATACTAAAAAAACTCTAAAAAATGTTTTCCAAAAAATTTTAAAATTTTTTTTAAAAAACAGAAAAATTTCATTTTAATTAGATTTCATTTTAATCTGTGACATATATTTTCTAATATAAGGTAATATATTGAAATTTTGGCTGCAAACCCTTTAATTAACAATACTTAAATAAAATCTAAGCTCTAAAGAAATTAGTTAAAAAAAAAACAAAACAAAAGTTAATTATTATAAAAAAATATTTAAAATAAAAATTAAATTAAACAATTTTTAAATAATATTTAGATAAGCCATGGCTACTCTAGTTGGTTTAGACTACAAATAAACTAGTCTAAATTTCTTTTCTTGTTATTTTAGGATATAAAATTTAAATACAGTATATACTTTTCTTTGTAAAAAAATCTAATTAGATTTTAATAAAAATAAAAACATAGTCTTATTATTAGTATTCAAAAAAAACAATTTTTAAATAGCAAAAAAAGTTAATATACAGTATATAAGTTTATATAAAACTAATACAAAATACAAAAGCTAGTTACAGTATATATTATCAAAATACCATAATAGTACTATAAGTACAGTTTTTAGAAATATATTAAATAAATTAAAGCATACTTCATTTATAAATTTTACAAGAAAATATAAACCTATCTATATTTAAAATTTTAAATACTGTATATATAAATTTAAAAAAAAGTGCTTTTATAAAAAGTTATTACAGGCCTCACCTTTGAAGATTAAAAAAAAAAATAAAAAAATAAAAAGTTAATACATTTTAAAATTACATACTGTATATATTATTATTATTATTATTATTATATACTGTAGTATATAAGATTTATAACAAGAGTTACTATATCAAAGTCTAACTATATATATAATATTCATTACCGTGGCTGAAGATAAAAACGGCTGAAGCTAAAAATTTTAAATACGTACTTTAATATAAAAATTTCAAAATTATTTGTAAAGTATATATATATTTACGTAGGGTTTAAATTTCTGGCTTCAACCATTTCAAGCTTCAGCGACAATTATCGAACACAATTTATATAAATCACACACACATATATATACATTGGCGCGACTAACAATATCACATGGAAAGAAACATGCAGATCGAATTGAGATCCGCAATCTGTTTGTAATCACATACCTTATCGACGCGTCAGATACTAGCACAATACATTCAATGTTCCATTATTCATGCTTTTGGTAGTTCTATAGTCTCGCTGTAGGCACTTATTGCTATGGGATTTTCTCCTTGTTCAATGGATATCCTTTTATAGTCTAAAGTTGACGATATTCTTTTCGCGGAAGCCATCTGATCATAAAGATTCCTAATAAATATATTTTTTTTAAACATGTTTAGCGTTAGAGGATGATCAATGATTAATACGTGATTCGATCGATCATGTTGAATTAAACTATGTATATATGCAGCTCGTATGATCCTCCATATTCTATAAAATATCAAATTTGTTTCCTCATTTGGTGTTTTATTCAAATGATACAACTTTTTTAGTGTAAACTTTTTATTGTAACGCAGGGAATTCTTGGATTATTGTCGAAGCAAATGTTTGAATAGTTTGTGTAATACGAAATTACGCCTAATGCTAATACAATATATATATATATATATATATATTTTTTTTTTTTTTTTTCTTAATCAATATGGAACAAGAGACCCTTGAGATTTTATAATCTTCAGTTTCAATTATTACTTCTGATTCAAGAGTATAGATTGATAACGTGGGATGATATCTTAAAGAATCGTGCATAATACATGCATTAAATATTAAGGAACACGATCAATCTCATTGTTATGGGTTCATTTAAATTACAAAAAAAAAAGGTTAGCCAATACATAGGTAATCATTGCCACAAAGAGATGTCATGGGATTACAAATTTGACATGCCGAATTAACGATTACGATATATTTATAAAGGGGCTTTTTAGGTTTATAAAATTCTGCTGCCAAACAGAAAGCACTGCCTCTAACTGCTCGTGCATATTAATATACAGGTATTTATATTGCATTGTTATACAAGTGACTTTAGGTTCGAGACTTTATTTCCCTTATCGTTATATACACTTTACAACTTTCGTTGAACTCAAACATTTGCGATTTATACCTCCATTGTCAAAATTATTGACCCCAATTTAAAAAAAAAACATGGTCAAGTTTATGACATGGATCCAATCAAAAGAGTTTGCTTCTTATATCGATGCTAATTTTATTGCTGCATCACAAACTCCAGATTATTCAAAGGTACATAGGCAAAGCCAAGCAATGGGTTGGTTTTGGTGGTCAAAAGAGCCGAAGATTGAAAAATATTCGATCGAAAATTTAAAGTAAGTGTATTTTTTTTTTTTTATTATATGAATAGCATATTCATTCACTAGGAAGACTGGAACCTATGATCGGATCTGCAGGAATTATAGCATGTTACTTTGGGTTATTCTACTTGTAATTAGTGATAATTAAAGATATCTTTTCAGAACCTTTACCACCTATCCGTGGAATGTGGTTGTTATTTGTATTTACATTTATAGAAACAACAGCAAAGACGAATCATTATTATGTTTCTCTTTAATCGTTTATACTAAATATTATTTTTGTCTCGTTATTCAGGCGCTTAAGTGCTTTGCTTTTAGATGGCTCGAAACATGGCAGCAATGACGAAGAAATGATTGAATCGATGAAAGAAATTACTCAAATTCTGATTTGGGGTATGAAATGACTTATTATTTGTAAGATCGCCTGACTATAATTTTGGTTTTAATAAAATATACGTATAATTATAGGTGATCAACACAAACCCGCAATTCTTGAGTAAGTATCTCAAATTTCATGCCACAAATTACTTATGCGAATAGTCATTATCGTTAATTTTGTTAATTTTCAAAATTTATTTAGATATTTCTTTGAACATTGCGTCCATTATGTATTTTTGAAAATTCTGGAAAATACCAAAAGTCCACAAGTCACGAAGCAATTGCTGCAAACCATGAACATATTATTTGAAAATATACATGATTTGACATCATTGTGTGAGTTCATAAATTTTAAATCAATGATATGTGCTTTTTTTTTTTTTTTTTTACTCTGGATTCTAAACTTAAATCTAATTATATATATTCAGATTTTTTATTATCAAATAATTATATAAATCAAATTGTATGCCACAAATTCGATTTTTCGAATGATGAAATCCTGGCCTATTTTATTTATCTTCTTCGTACCCTTTCATTCAAACTTGATACGAACACTCTCTATTTCTTTTTCAACGAGGTATTTCTTACTATTTGTCAAATGTTATTGGTTTGTAAATTATACATGCATTAACTTGTTTTGAATTTCATGTAATAACAGCATTTAGATGACTTTCCTTTGTAAGCATATCTTGCTTTCTTTACATGGGTGGCACCATAAGATATTAAATAATTTCTCTTTTATTGTAGGTATTCTGAAGCCACTAAATTCTTCAATTCAGATGAGAGCATGGTTCGAGTTGCCGTCCGAACGATCACATTGAATATATTTGCGGGTATTCAATTGTCAGGCTTCACTCTCATTTTTTAATTTCTAAACTTCACCCTAAAATATTTGTTTAATTCACAGTTAATGACGAACAGATGCAGGATTTCATCTTGGATAGAAATGCCGCTCCATATTTTTCAAATCTGGTTTATTTCATTGCCAATCACGCGTCAATTTTGAACGATATAGTTACTTCTCCAACGTACGTATTTATTCATTCTTTGTTATTTAAATGGTTGACACTTATTCGAATTTACTAACTGTAATTAATCCTTATTCTAGATATCACAAACAATATCACAAATTTAATTATTATATTGCTGAACATTGTGACAATTTTTATTATATCAATGACATTATTAATTTAAATAATGAAAAGATGAACACAGTTTTGACAACACGTTTAATGGATTTACTGTTACAACCTATTTATGCTGATAGTTTGGTTGACAAGAAGTTGTTACCATCCCAACAGGTATTTTTCTTAATTTTAATGGTTACATTAGGACTACGAATAATTAATAAAGCTATTAAACTTTAAAAATAGAGAACACGAATCAATTCTGTTGTTGCTCTTGCGCTTTTATGTCATGTTTTACATATATTCCGTCATCCCCCACTAGTTACAGACATGGTAGCTATGCTGTTTTCAAACTCCCCAGCTATGATGGATTATTCATGCTCACCCCCAACGAGATTTGAACGGTCGAGTTCCTCATTTCGGAGGTAACTTTCCTATTTTGTTAACTTTATGTTGATGTACGTAACTTAACATTTTTATTATTATTAAAGGAATCTATACCGGGAAGCTATCATGGGATTCCTAATTCCAGATATGTCTGCAGGCCATCCCGACTTGAATACTCTTCCTGCTCTTTGTTTGCTTTATATGTCATGTAGAAACCATGCAATAGCGCCTGATGTTTTAATAGCAACCGATGTGTACCCCCAAAAGTTGCTAAAATCACGTCGTCTGTTGGTAAATAGATTTTTGGTACCTTAATATTCGATGAAATATCCATTTCTAAATGAGTATATATTTATATATATTTTTTGCTGCTGCAGGACACTTTAATAAGTGATTCAGACGAATACTTGCCTGATGACGCTTCATTATGTGAAAGGCAATCCTTTGATACAGAATCAATATTTTCAAATTCCACATCAACTTCTCAAGTGAAGCCGTTATTCATCGATAGAAATGACGAATCACAATTTAATGTTCCAAGTTACAAATCTGTGCGTGGGCTATTTATTGACGAGGAAGATTGTCCACAATATGGATCATTTTCAATACCCACAATAAAAATATCCTGTGATGATGTAGATGATAATGGATCACAACATACAAGAAATTATCGAGAAGAATTAATTAAATTGATTCTGGAGTTATTGTGTCAATATTATCACCATTGTCGACTAATAACACTTCAGGTTTATATTTTTATCATAATTTACTACACCCTCATAATCCCCGAAATGAAATCTCGTCTACAAAATAGGTAACTTCAATAAAGCTACTTATTTTGTAGCTGTAAAGATTTCTTGATCCAGTTTACTTATTTAACATTATCACTTTTTTCTACAGATGGCTGCTGAAGTTTTATTAGAACTATTATATTATAATGGATCTGGCGAATGTTTAACTCCAGACCAAATGGAATTAATGATTGTAAATAACAAATTGAAATTCATTTATATTTATTCGCAGCTTGAGCACTTATAGTAAATTTAACTTTCTTTTATGTGCTAGAGAGCAGAGAACGAAATACAAGAATTATTAAAACCGTATTTTTCGAATAATGATGAATCTCCTTTGAATGAAAGTGAGAAGGCTTCTGCCGATTCTATGTGTAACTATCAGTCAATAATGAGTTCTTTAATTCTTATTGCTAATTTTAAATCACATTTAACTTTTTATTATTTTAATTATATGATCTAGTCGGTGGCGATAAACATGTTGGTGAGATTATAATGAGTGCCAAACTATTATTTCCACCGCCGATCGAAACGGACAAAGAAAAACAAAAGATTGTTGATGGTATTTATATCAATGCATCGTAATATTACATTTTTATGTTATTTATCAAAATACTGAACATAATAATAATTTTATTAGATAATGATGCTACTAAATATATAAAAACGTTACGCCTTTTGCAACAAACTCGGACATTGTTATCACGACAATAGGAATTAATCATAATTCCGTGTTGGCAATTATAACTTTTACTGTAACAATTACGGCTTCGTCGTGATTGCGCAAGTAGTAGCCTATATCAAGGACATAACCCATGAATCAGGCTGTAGTCTATGCATTGTCCCACTGATTATTATTAAAACTATAATTGTTATTGTGGTATATATTATGTACATACGTGTTTCATATAAATTAATAATTTGAATGTATTTTTAAAAAAATAATCGAGATTTAAAGAAATAAAATGAACCAAAATAATATGGGCTGAGTAAAAATCATAAAATATGTAAATTTTTGTTGAGATGTGACAAACGAATCATATTTCATAAGAGTTTATTTGGTGAATAATTGTGTTAAATGTTTATAAATACTGTATTATAGTATCAAAATGTTGATTAAAATTCATTATTATTAATTGTTAAGAATTTTTAAGAAATTTGAAAAATTTCTTGTAGTATAGTAATTTTTTTGATAGAATGTATTACACTTTGAGCCATGTTATCGGATATCTCCAAGTTTGGGGCAGGGACGGTGATCTTATGCGGCAATCATTGATTATGCAAGCAACGAAAGTAAATTATGCGTTTTTTAATGTGCATATATTTTTTATTATGCACCCAAAATTATATTTATGCGTAGTTTCGTATCTAGCTTAGTATAAAACCCATTTTCGGAGCTTTACCTCAATTTGTTTCTCGTAATTTGCGTTAATTAATTTTCTATTCGGCAAATTTCGGAGCAGCAATAGATCCAATTATGCAATAATTACTTCATAGCAATGTACTTTATGCAGAATTATGCGGCAAATCTAACCTATTATACATTATCGGTTATTACGTATGCGGTTTTATGCAATTTGCATATCATCCCTGGAATTACGAGCAAGCTCCGAAGTGTTTCGAAAATGAGTTTATACTAAGCTATATAGATACGAAACTACGCATAAATATAATTTTTGGGTGCATAATATGCGTATAATTATAAAAATACTAGCTTATAACCCGTGACTTCGCTACGGAAGTTGTATATAATTAAGGGTAGGGTGTCCGTAGATCATTTTTCATATGATCTACGTGGTATATTAAAATTTTACATAGACAGCAAAA